GCGGCGGCGGCGCTGGGGGCCGCCTGGATGCTGACGGCCGCGCCCAGCCCGTCGCCGGCGTTGAGCATCACCTGGTTGGCCAAGGTCACCCCCTGGATCACCGTGGGCGCCGCCGCCGCCGCCGCCGCCGCCTGGCTCTGGCTGGGCAGCGTCCCCGCCAGCGACACCGGCATCTGGAAGAGCGCCGGCTGCCCCACCTGGCCCGGCTGCAGCTGGATGGGCGCCGCCGACAGGATGTGGGCGGTGCCGTGGGCGTTGGGCGACGTCAGCACCGGCCCCAGGTTGAGCTGGCCCGCCAGGTTCTGGTTGGTGAGGATCTGCGCCGGCAGCGCCTGGTTGGCGATCAGCTGCGCCCCGGCCGCGCCCTGGCCGGCCAGGAGGCCGGCGCCGTGAGGGGCCGCCAGGATCTGGCCCCCCACGCCGGCGGGCAGCGCTGAGAGCGGCTGGGCCAGCTGGCCCGGCAGCAGGAACTGGTTCTGGCCCTGGAAGTGCTGGGCCGGGATGACGATGCTGCCGGCCTGGTTGAGCACGTGCACGCTCATGGGCTTGCCCAGCGCCGCCGCCGCCGCCGCCTGGGGCGCCCCCGGGGGCTTGAAGACGTTGGGGGGGAAGCCCGAGAGCACCACGTTGGGCGCGGCTTTGCCGGCCATGAAGGTCAAGTTCTGCTGTTGCTGCGGTTGTTGTTGTTGCGCTTGTTGCTGCTGCTGCTGTTGCTGTTGTTGTTGTTGTTGCTGTTGCTGCTGTTGGGGCGCCTTGGCCGCCGGGGCCTCGCCGGGCAGCGCCAGCGCGGCGGTGGCGCCGCCGGAGTTGGGGGCGGCGGCGGCGGCGGCGGCGGCGAAGGGTTTGGGCGTGATCTGGTAGAGCTTCTGGGGCAACACCTGCCCGGCGGGCTTGGGCTGGATGGGCGTGGGCGTGCGGTGGATGATGACGTTGGGTGCCGGCACCAGCGAGCCGCCCAGCCCCGAGGTGACGGTGAGCGGCGCCGGCGCCGGCGAGACGCCGCCGAACACCGAGTTGCCGTTGAGGGCGGTGGTGGCGGCCACGGCGGCCGGGAGGCTCTTCTGGATCACCAGGCCCGGCCCCCCCTGCGAGGAGGGCGCCGCCAGCGCCGCCTCGGGCTGGGCGATGTAGCCCCCCACGGCCGCCACCGGCGCCGGCTTGGCCAGCAGCTGCGGCGCCGCCGGCTGGTTGATGGCCATCACCTGCTGGCCCACCACCTGGATGGGCCCCAGGCCCAGCGCGCCGCCGGGGGAGCCGTTGGGGAGCCCCGGCAGGTTGGGCAGGGGCTGGATGGTGACGTTGCCCAGCCCCACCTGCTGCAGGAAGGGCTGCACGCTGATGGCCTTGTTGACCACGTCGGCGGCGCCCACCGGCTGCGGCACCAGGGCCTGGTGGGCCAGCACGGCGGGGGGTTGGATGCCCAGCAGGTCGCCGCCGCCGGGGAAGAGCTGGGGGGCGCCGTCGGCCGCCTGCACCACGGGCTGCAGGGCGGGCAGCTGGAAGGAGCCCAGGTCCAGCTCGGCCTCGGCCTCCAGGGTCTGCTCGGTGATGTTGGCCTCCTGCAGGCTCTGGCGCAGGATGTCGCACGGCTGCTCGGCGCCGGCGCCCGAGGGCGAGCCCAGGATGTCATCCTCCAGGAAGTCCAGGTCCACGCTGGCCGCCGGCTGGCTCGGCTCGGCGCTCAGGGGGTTCCCGGCGGCCTCCTGCCCGTGGAGCTGCGGCAACGGAAACGGGGCGGGGGGGGAAGGGGGAGGGGTCAGAGAGCGGGCGGGGGGAGTCGGGGGACGCGACCGAGCTCGACGGAGCTC